ACTTTCACAGCTTTAGTACAGAACAGTTGAGCTAAGCCACGGCCAGGCTCCTTGCTGTCTCCTTGCTCACACCGCAAATGCTCTTTCAGTTTCCAAACAGCCCTCCACTCTCACACACTGACAGAACACTAGCCGGAGGAATACCGATGGATGCCGGTAGGCAGAGGCACAATCCCACCCCCCCTCCTTATTTTCCTCCCCCAAAACTAAGCCCAATCACATAGTTGGATAGCAAAGCACGCGTATCCAGCTCGTATTGTATACTTCCACCACCTTGAATTACTTACGGTGTAAAATAATAAAAGTGTAAAATAATAAAAACCTAACAGGAACAATTGACAGGGAGAAACGATCACACCCTCCAAATATAAAGCACTTTTTGATGCTTTCAGCCTTGGCTCCTGGCAACTAGGTGGACGATTTCCTTGACCACATTTATTTCAGGAGAAGGTTGCTAGTCCTCTTTTCCTGGGGCTGGGTGGGTGGGTGAGGGGGGGGGGACCGGCCCAAGGGCACCCAGCTGTCTCCGTGCCTGAGGCAGAGCTAGAATTCACCGTCTCCCGGTCTCTGGCCTGCTGCTTTTAACCACAACCTCCGTCCGTCACCAAAGCTTTGACATTGTCCGGAAAAGAGAAGCCGGACGCCTCCCCACCCGGGAGAGCCGAGGGGACGTAATGGCCGTCCGTTCCTCCTCCTTCTCTTCCAGGCTCTACCCCGTGGGCATCACCATCCAGCGCTACCCTCTACGCGATGTGGTGCTCCAGAATTATTGCGTGCCAGCTGGTGTAAGTACGCGGGGGGCAAAGGGTTGGCCTGTCCCCACCCCGCCACCCCGCCACCCCCCCACCCCAAGCACCCCCCTCCCAGGCGAGGGCTGACCCAGGCCGAAGCCACTTGACCCACTTGACCAGGTTCCTGCCATTCTGGAGGGCAACAGGGAAGGCCAGGATCTGCCGGCCAAAGGTCCGGGGCGCAAACTCCACTTCAAACCAATTCTAGGGAGCAGGAGGTCCCCATCTCACCCCCCCTCCCCCCACGGCCTCCCCTCCCCCCCCATCTTCTGGCTCTCCACGGCCTTTTCATGGATGAGGCTTTGGAGAGGCTGGCTTGTCCTTAACAGAGAATCAAGAGTTGGAAGGGACCTTGGAGGTCATCTAGTCCAACCCCCCGCCCAAGCGGGAGACCCTACACCATTTCTGACAGAGGGCAGTCCAGTCTCTCCTTGGGGGGGTGTGTGAAGCTCCCACAACTTCTCAATTATTGAATAATAACAGAGCTGGAAGGGACCTTGGAGATCATCTAGTCGAACCCCCCGCCCAAGCGGGAGACCCTACACCATTTCTGACAGATGGGCAGTCCAGTGTCTTCTTGGAAGCCTCCAGGGATGAAGCTCCCACAACTTCTGAGGGCAACTTCTGTTCCATGGGTGGATGGTTCTCCCTGTCAGAAAGTTTCTCCTTATTTCCAGGCTGAATTTCTCCTTGGTCAGTTTCCATCCATTGTTCCTTCTCCGGCCTTCGGGGGCCTTGGAGAATAGCTTGACCTCTTCTCTTCCTCCTCTCTGGGGCAGCCCCTCAGATATTGGAAGATGCTCTCCTGTCTCCCCTGGTCCTTCTCTTCACTAGACCAGCCCGGCCCAGTTCCTGAACCTGCTCTTATAGAGGGGTACTGCTACCTCATGGGATCCTCGATTCAATCATTCTGCTAATGCAATTTAGGATTGCGTTGGCTGAGTTCGAAGCCCATCCATCTGAAATCCGGGGTCTCCAACCTGGCTGGCTGGGGAATTGGGGCTTAAAGGGGCCAAGGTTGGAGACCCCCGCTCTAAAGATCAAAAATCACCGGGCGGGGGAGGGGGCTTTTGGAGCAGCGGCGTTTGGGGTGCCACATGAAACTCCCCCCAGGAGCTGCGTGGCAGGAGGGCCGCCGGCTGCCCCCCTCACCAGCCCCTCCTTTCCTGCCCCGTCCCCCGCCCCAGACGCTGTGCCAGGTGGGGCTCTACTCCATGGGCCGGAGCCCGGCGGTGTTCACGGAGCCCGAGCAGTACAGGCCGTCCCGCTGGCTGGGCAAGGAGGACCACAGCTTCAAGGCGCTGGCTTTCGGCTTCGGCTCCCGCCAGTGCATCGGGCGCCGGCTGGCGGAGGCCGAGATGGCGCTCTTCGTCATGCACGTGAGTCCTGCTGGGTGGAGGGGGAGGCGGCCCAGGCAGATAGCTTCCCCACCCCCAGGGGGGTCCCCGAGTTACAGCCATTTCTTTAGAGCAGGGGTGTCCAACCTTGGCAACTTTTCTGGGAGTTGAAGTCCACAAGTCTTAAAGTTGCCAAGGTTGGACACCCCTGGTTTAGAGTGTCCTGGGACCGCTTTTCCCACTTACGACCTCGTCCCCACGGTCACACGGGATCAAAACTCGGCCACTCATCCATGGATTCATACTTATGACAGTCACTAAGCGATCCCCTTCGGGGACCTTCCGATGAGCGAAGGCCATGGGGAAGCCGGGTTCGCTTAACGACCGGGTTACTAACTTCGCCACTGCGCCGATCTGAACGTGGCAAAAAAAAAAAAGGTCGTAAAATGGGGGCTAAACGCCCTTCCGTTGTCTCGCTTGGCAACGGAAACGCTGGGCGACTGCGGTCGTAAGTCGAGGACTCCCCTGGAGAAGGGGGCCTAGAAGAGATGGCCAGCGAGCCGGCCGGGGATTATGGGACGTAGAGGCCACGATGGAATGCGAAGGGCTTGCCCGGGGGGGGGTGCTCTCTGCCCCCCCCCCTCACGGCCATGGTGGTGGGACTCTTCCAGATCTTGAAGAACTTCAAGATTGACACCGTCTCCAAGGAGGACCTCCGGACCGTCTACAGCTTCATCCTGAAGCCGGAGAAACCTCCTCGGCTCACCTTCCGCCCCATCGACTAGGGGGCCTCCTGCCCACCAGCCCTGCAGGCCGTGAGCGGGGAGAAGGGGCGGCCCCACACTCAAAGGCCAGCGGGCCTCCCCGGTTGCCCAGCTTCCTCCTGACCGCAAACGCCACCCTCCTCCCGAGCCCTGATGAGGTTACCTGGTCAGGTCATGAGACGTCTGCAAGAAAGCCGCCACGCTCAGAGAGCACCAGGGACCCCGCAGACTTCCTCCTCCTCCTCCTCCTCCTCCTCTTCCCTTCCAACACTGATGAGGTTACCTGGTTAGGTCATGAAACGTCTGCAAGAAAACCGCCACACTCAGGGAGCACCAAGGACCCCACAGACTTCCTCCTTCTCTTCCTCCTCCCCTCTGCAAACCCCTCTCCCTTCTAGCACTGATGATGTTCCCTAGTTGGGTCATGAGACGTCTGCAAGAAAACCGCCACGCTCAGAGAGCACCAAGGACCTCACAGTCTTCTTCCTCCTCCTCCTCCTCCTCCTCTTCCTCTTTCCTTCCAACACTGATGAGGTTACCTGATCAGGTCATGAAACGTCTGCAAGAAAACCGCCACGCTCAGAGAGCACCAAGGACCCTTCATTTCAACCCTGAGCTACAAAAAATCCCCTTTACTGATTGAATTTCCTCCCCCACTTCCTTCGTTCTCCTCCCTCCTCCCCATCCTGTGGGGGGGGGGAAACAGAAAATGAGCCCATCCCCATTTGCACTTGGGGGGGGGTGCGGCAGGAGGCAAACATCAAAGCAGCACCCAGAATCGATGAGCGAAAAGAAAAATTTCTAAATGGGATCAATGAATCAATAAATCTCTCCGCTTTTTAAATTTATTTTTCTGAGGGTTTTTTTCCTCTTGCTTGATGCATGCAAGCCGGCCCAGAGGATCAAAGGGCCTTCTGTTGGGGGTCCATCCAAAAATCAATCTATGTGGTGCCGATGTTTGGGGATTGACAGCCTTCTCTCAGGTGTATCCCCAGAGGAGCTGAGGCCCGCCTGCCCCCAACCCCAGTAACGCCAGGTAGGGGATCCAGATTTAGGAAAAGTGCTTCCATCACTGTCAGGAGATGATCGATGCGTGGAAAATCTCTCTCTGAACAAGGTATTAGAAACACAACTTGTGGCCACCTGGAGTTGTATATGTGTGTGTGTGTGTGGGGGGGGGGTCTCCATTGCTGGAGGTTTCCCAGCAAAGACTGAAGAGCCACAGGCCTGAAACGCTTTGAGGAACCTTGCCCTGCCCTGGGGTTGGACTAGATGACCCACAAGGTCCCTTTCCAGTACTAGGTTTCTAGGACATCATGACCCCCTCACATAATAGGAAGACACACAACCAAAGAGCTACAGACTGTCCTAAAGAGAGTCCTGGACTCAGTTAGTGACCATTTGAAGTTACAACACCCCTGAAAAAAGTGACTTATGACCATTTTCCCCACTTACGACCGTTGCAGCCTCCCTGATCAAAATTCAAATGCTTGGCAAGTGATTCATATTTATGATGGTCGCAGCCTCCCGGGGTCAGGTGAGCACTTTTTGTGACCTTCTGACAAGCACAGTGTTGAGGTGTTCCCCGTTAGGAGAATGAGGGCACTCAGGGAAACATAGTGAGAGTGATGTTGAATAACACACGACCAGCATACAGATACACTGAATAGTAAAATGTAGGTTTTACTTCCATTAAACAGGTAAACAAAGTCCAACAAACAGTCCAAATCATACACGGTTAAAGCAGTTAGTATCAGTCCAGGAATAATCCAAAAACAAAGTCCAGTATCGTAAACAGAGTTCAGTAAACGGAGTTTGCTAACCGTTGCAAGACTCACAGCAATCCAAACAATCAGGCAACAGGGCAAAACAGGAAATGCAAGGAGAAAGAAACCAGGTTTCTGGCTCCATCTTATGGCCGTTGGAGGAACCTCAGCCAATCACAATTGCAGCATTCTCTTAAAGATACAGTGAATGACTATCCTGGTTTATATATTTCCAACCCAACTGTTAGGTGACTCTCATTCCTAACGTTCTCCCTTTTGGGTAGGACAATATATAAAGCCTTACACTTTAAGTCCATATATTTTACAGTGCCTTGGACTTTCGTAAAATGATCTGCAATGTTATTCTCTGACATGCAGTCCTCCAGTATAATCATTTTACTTTGAACACATTGTCTCACATTTAGATCTCGTAGATCGGTGTGTTTTGATCTTGTCTTTACATCTATCAATCCATCAATTATCAATCCATCAATCTATCTATCATGTATCTCTATGCATCTACCTACCGACCTACCTACAATCTATGTATCTATTTATCTTATCTCTATCTTATCTCTTATCATCTACCCACCATCTATACCTATCTATCTATCATCAATCAATCAATCTCTCTAGCTACCTCCCTCCCTATTGATCTATCACCCACCTACCTACTTACCATCTATCAATCCATTAATCCATCCATCAATCTATCATCTATCAATCAATCAATCTATCTATCTATCTATCATCTATTATATCTATCTATCTGTTGCATTTATCATTCTATCTCTTGCATTTATCATGCATTTATTTACCTACCTACCTACCTACCTACCTATCTACCTACCTACCTACCTATCACCTAAATATCTAACACAAATACAAATCAATTCCTTCCTGACTGCAGACATTCCCCTCACTTAGAAGGGAGTTTTCCAAGGGCCCCCATGCAAGGAGTTGCTTTCGGTCACAAATGCAACCGATCTGCTTGCGAAAGTGACCACAAAGGGCAACTGGGAAGCGGCCAAGAAGCAAAGGAGCCCTTTCCCTCCCTTCCCCTTTGCCCTTCCCCTCCTCCCCTCCCCAGCCCCCCTTGCGACTCCAGACAAGGCCAGGCCGGCCCAAAACAACACCTGGCAGCAGACAGACGAACCTCTCTCCAGGTGGACTGACAACAGTTCATTTAGTGACCATTCAAAGTTACAATGTCCCTGAAAAAGGGGGATTTACGGATAGTTTCCACCCTTACAACCACTGCAGCCTCCCCATGATGATCACAATTCGGGCACTTTGGCCACTGACACGCATTTATGACGGTTGCAGGGCCCCTGGGTGATGTACGATCCCCTTTTGCGGCCTTCTGACAAGCAAAGTCAGCGGGGAAGCCAGATTCACTTAACGACCAGGCGACTATCTTAACCGCTGCAGCGATTCACTTAATAACGGGGGCGAGAAAGGTCGTAAAACTCACTTAACAAATGCCTCACTTGGCCACGTAAACTTGGGGCTCCATTGTGGTCATAAGTCGAGGACTACCGGCATTTGCCGTTAAAGAGGCTTTCTCTTTTCCTTCCCCAAACTCTCCTGGTGGCCAGCGAGGGGTCCTGATGGAGGAAGCAGGGAGGGGCCCCTCTGGATGTCCTGGGAAAACAGTCGGGGGGCAGCCTGTAATTCTGCGCAGCCCCGGGGGCCACCGCCAATGTGAGGGGCCCTGGGAGCTCCCACGGAGGGACCACCGGTTGCCAACCCCTGCAGGAAGCGGCGGAGGAATGGCGGGATAAGAGGAGGGGGAGGAAGTGACATTCCCACCTGGGTTCACCGAGTCACACTCGGCTTTTGCGGGTCTGAATTTCTGATGGTTGAGAGGTCTCCTGCTTGAGTTAGGGTTGGGCTGGAGCCAGGGTCAGCAACTGTGATGACCCAAAGGGGCGTGGCACAAAAATAACAAAGTCACAAAAATAGATAAATTCCCTTTAATGCCTCCAACTTGGCCCCCAATGTCCAATTATCCTCGGCTGGAGATCAAACTCTTCCAAAAACAGTCTACGAAGGGAAGAAAGGCAGTCCGAACCCAAAGTAAAGATAATTAGAAATAAAAACACCAACACAAACCACTCTGAAGGAATTAACATGACAGGCCAGGATGATAAATTGCAGACTTCCACAAGATAACGCAGCAACCACAGTTGGGAGGACGCCAAAACCCAGACAAGCCTCGACAAAGATAATGCACGTTTTGCTTCCAGCAAGGTGCTGTGTGCAAATGCCCCACTTATATCCTGTTCTCCCAGCTGCAACTAATGAAAGGGATCAGGGCCTTTTTCTCCCCTGTAAGCCACGTTGCTCCCTTCTCCGTTCCACCCTGCGTGCCCTAGGATGAAGAGGGGGTGGGCCTGGGTCTTCCTCTGAATGTCCAGCCGGCCTGTGCCCTTCCCCCGTTTCTTCCACAGCCATGGAGCCTCACTTCCCACCCCCTGTCAGCTGCTCAATCTCCCCCTCAGAATCAGACAAGGGCATGACAGCAACTTTAAACACTCAAAGAGCCATTTGGACCCATTTCCCACGGAAAAGAAAAGACCGGGAGCCACAAATACCCTTCCTGTGCCTGACTCTTTCCTGACCGGCCACAAAACTAGCATCTGTAGTTGAATTAAACATTCTTTTTTCTTCTGAAATTTTCTTCCCTTGGATGTACCCATGGTTGGCCTACCAGGGGTCAAAAAGCTCAATAAATTGCAGGCCAGTGGGTGTCACACACACATTGGTGGTTGGGACACACATTTTGAATGATAAGGAGCAGCAGCAGAGTGGTGAAAGAGCCACATGTGGCTCCAGAGCTGCAGGTTGCTGACCCCTGGGCTAGAACAGGGAAAGCTATGGCAAACCTAGACCACATACTAAAAAGCAGAGACATCCCTCTGCCAACAAAAGCGCGTAGAGTCAAGGCTGTGGTGTTCCCAGCGGCAACGTAGGGCTGTGAAAGTTGGACCCTAAGGAAGGCTGAGCGCCCAAGAAGGGAGGCCTTCGAAGTCTGGTGTCCCTCCTCCGGGTCCCCTGGACAGCAAGGCCATCCGACCGGTTGGTCCTAGTGGGGATCGACCCTGGCTGCTCTATCCAAGGCCAGATCCTGAAGGTGGAACTCTACATACTTTGGCCACCTCAGGGGAAGGAAGGGCTCCCTGGAGGAGAAGAGCCGAATGCTGGGAACGATGGAGGGAAGAAGAAGAAGAGGAAGAAGAAGAAGAAGAAGGAGGAGGAGGAGGAG